CTAAGATGTATAAGCTCTTGATTGTACAGCAATGAAATATCCCACACCATTTTAAAATAACATAAAACTAGCCGCTTGTGAGAATAAATAACTTTAAATAGTTGAATACATAAAAAATTGAAAGCAAGCACTTACTAGAGGCGTAAGAAACACAAACCGTAACCAGGACAACACACCAAAGCCTGAGTCGCTTCATCCTCGCCTCACAGGCCGACAGCGATTGTTCGTTGCTTGTCGCTCAGCAGGATATAACAACACGCTGGTTGGGTCCTCCAACTTTCCCACCAAAGAAGGTATAGCTGCCGCGACCCTGGAGAAAAATGTGTAGAAAACACTGATTATAGATAATATTTCGCCTTACAACTGAAAATGTCTGGCGGGGAGACGTAACTCCTTTTTTTAAAGATACATAACCATTTTTAACTCGAAAAATTATATATTTTTTTATCTATGGCTAATATTTTGCGATGCAGTTTACTCAAGGACACAGTTCGCATCACAACGAACATATCATCGAAAAATATACTTTCTTTGTGAAAATAAATGCTATTCACATTGGAAAAAAAAATTATTTCGGCTACCTTAGGTTCCTAAATATTATGCTTTCCAAAATATTTCATAAAGTTACTTTTTTAATAAACGTGATAACAATTTTGTGTAGACAGTCTTTAGTCATTTAACATTCACAGTTAAATTTAAATCTAAGGCATAAAAGTATAAAAATAATGAGTAATGTGGTAAAAGTAGAATGCACGTAATTATTAAAGGGTTAAATCATAGCAAGATTCACATATATTTACATTCCTTATTAGCTTAACCGCCTAGATTTGCTAATATGTGAATGCACACACTGCACCTGCAACATGTAAAGATTTGAAACCAAACAGCTGAGACCTTCAAAGCATTAAACACACCAAAAGAACGTTGGAAAAACACCGTTCTGACGTAATAGATCATCCTATCATAGATAAACGTTACGATATTGTAAATAAAGACGCAGATATGGAACTTTGTACAAATTTTAACTAACAGTATAACATTAAGTTATAACATAAAATGTGCTTGTACTTTACACAATTGTTTCACTAAAGCTTTACATATATAACGTACCCTAGAAAATATTTGGTTTCCGTTTCTGCATAGTGATCTATAACAAACCTCTTCAGGTTAAAGCGCAAGCGATTTTGAGAGTAGCTGACGAGCACGCCCATCCTCACTATTGGCAGTTAGTTGGTAAGAGGGGGTAAGAAGGCCTCACAAAGGACAGGTCGACTGTATATTCGATTGGCAACCTGTGTACCACTGAATGAAGCTGCGCAACTTTTGCAGGATACATATGTGTGTGTGTGTGTGTTATTAGATATTATTCTCAATTTGTACTTTAAAGCCCACCACATACTCAATAAAATAAATATCGTAAAAATTCGCTCTACATTGCATAACTTATATTTAGCTTTTATAACAGTAAGGGAAAAATATTATGTTGTCCACACAAAAACACGTAGGAGTTCTTCAATAATAAGTCACATGTTTAACAAGACAAAATAAAAACATACTCAACGATATGACAAGAAAAGCTCGCATGAGTTTATTTCTGAAAGATACACAAGAAAACAATAAGACTAGGTATTGTACTGCGCTTTTGTCTGAAAGATAAATCTGCAATCTTTAAAGACCTGCAACAAATCTACAGAGTTACGAGTCTTAAATGGTTTGGCCAGCGTATGTGTCAATCCCGTGATAAAGTCTCGTACTTTTTTATATCATAATTCCAAAAATCGAAATATTTTTTCTCACCCATCAAACTAACGTCCAATAAAAGTAAAGGTTTCAGATCTGTATACGGCATTTTCTTAAAGACAAAATGATGTAGACGAGAATTAAAGCTACGTAGAGATCTGTTAATCACTGGAAATATATAACTAAAAACATATTTGAAAATATTAGTTTGAATACTCATACAAAAATATTGTTTTACCAACTAAAAACGGTGCATTTTATTCTAAAATCGTTTTTGGTTGTTTTTGTTTAAATTTTAAGTGTGTACGATACTTTATGACATGCACCAATACAGATCATGTATGTCTGTAAGAAACACAAGTTACAATTTTCATTTGTGAAATTATTATTTACTCAAACTCTCTGTTTACTGTGACTTAAAATAAGGTCTTAACTAAAATGTTAAGAAGCTTACTAATTACTGTCTTTGCTGCAGTGGCAGAACAAGCAGTTAAGGAGCAAAGAAATGATCTGGCCTCTTTTTATTGAAGAAAAAAGAAGAGAACCAAGCCCCCAGGCATCGCAGGTCCTGGGGCAATGCCCCATCTGCCCCGCCCCTGCTTTTCTGAAAATACAAGTAGGTGTCTCTAAGGCCAAGCAAAATCAGATAAATATATTAAGTAAGCATATTTATATTATATATGTATATACACACACACAAATAACTGCACTTCAAATACGTAATTCCCTAACTACATTATCTTCCTCTTAAAACCACTTGGTATTGGTTATGTAGATGAAAATTTAATAAATGTAACTTTCTACTAAACTCATAAAAAAATTCCCCTTCATGACCATGACAAAGAACAGAACTCAGTCAGCCAGCCAGCCTCAGGGTAGTATGTTTAATCTATAATGAGATACAGCAGAGGCAAAAAAAATTATATATCACACATAAAATTCTGAAGTACATGTGTGTATGTGTCATTACTACACTTTCTTCTGAATACTATGACAAATCGCATATACTGACAAATATACTTGCATCTTTCCATCTGTTATTTGGAAGAACAGGTACTACCATAAAAAAGGTGCTTTATTTTTCTTTTTAAGAAAAGCTTTATCATTGAAAAAATCTATGGGTTGACAAAGAAGTTGTAAATTATACTTTACCATGACTATGTCTTGACATCCTTTCCCACAGCCAATCCCTATATCCTACCACACATACAAACACTATGGTACATATTGCTCAATTGAAATAACTAACTTATTATTTGCCATTTCTCATACTTTCTCTGAAGATTGACAATATATTCTACATGTTTGACAACAGCAGAGTAACCCCCCCCCCACCACACACATGTCCTTATATTCTGAAAAAATTACACCCTAATATTACAACAAATTGGGAGCTATTCTTCCTGAAAACAAATGTCATAAATACATCTATATGTACTATTTGTTCCTACGTCCAAGTGAATTTAATGGGTGTATGCATAGCATATGATGGAAATTAAATATGGAAATTCAGTTTTCTAAATGATTAATAAAATCAAACTGTTAGAATGTTACTACCACTATGAGATAAATGATGTCATTTGGATTATACTACTGTTCCACTTTTCAATGTTATCACACCTAAAGCATTTTGTACTATTATATGTTAACTAACAGGTCAACCTCCTTTGCTTTATGAATAAAATGTTTTCTCTCACAATTATTATCCATATATACAATTTTAGGAGTTCGTGAAAAAAAATCAGAAAATATAAAAAAATAAAATCTCATATCTCTAAACATTTACTTAATTTCTACTTGAAAAAAGCTTTCTTGTTAATTTCATTACAGTTCTTCACAACTACTTCTATTACAATTTCAAATACAACTTTAAATTTTACTGGATTTTATTACCCTTGTAATATACTGTATTTTATGTTGTGGTTTCTATTAACTAATGGGGGAAGAGAATCTTTTTTTTTTCAGAAAAAAAATTATCTTTAAATTTAGTTCTTAAAAATGATTTGAACTGTAACAGCAAGCTACTTGACAAAATGATGTTTTGTTGAAAAATGCTTTTAGCCTTACACTTTCCCCTTCCTCCCTTACCTTGCTTTGTCTGTGGAATAACTTTTCCACTCTTGGTTTATATTATTGTATAGAGAATGGAGTATATTAACATATCTAATTTTCACTACAAATAAATACACAGAAAATATTTACATCAGGTAGAACTAATGTTTTTGTCCCAATTTCTAATATATAACAATAAGTGGTTCCTTTATTACTAAACTATAGTATGCAACAGTGTGAGATAGTCAGTATTTTGTGGGAGACATATTAGTATGTAACAGAGTACTAAAATACACTGAGCATTGTAAGCTGATTATTACTAAAAATATAACACTAAAGTATAAAACAATATAAGCTGATTGTTACTGTACACGGCCACTATTATATGTGGTATTATGCTATAGTACTTAAAAGTGTAATATGATCATTATATGTGATTTGATATAGTATTTAACAGTGTAATATAATCATTATTATATGTGATTTGCTATAGTATTTAACAGCGTAATATAATCATTATTATATGTGATTTGCTATAGTATTTAACAATCTAATGTGATCATTATTATATGTGATTTGCTATAATATTTAACAATCTAATGTGATCATTATTATATGTGATTTGCTATAATATTTAACAATCTAATGTGATCATTATTATATGTGATTTGCTATAATATTTAACAATCTAATGTGATCATTATTATATGTAGTATGGTATATTATTTAATAGTGTAAGGTGATACACTGATTATTATTATGTACTACCACAAAATACCCTTTCTCCACTGATGAGTTCAAAAGCCCCCTCATAATTCACAGAGGGGCTCAATCAGGCTCCTCCATTAACTCCAATTGTTTCAATAGCTCCCTCAAGGGAGATCCATACCATGAAAAAACCTGTTGGTACTTGAGCATGTATAACTGTCATGTGAGTCTGGGTACGAACACGGTTTCAAACATAGTGTCTCAGGATTCTAAAGAAAGACCAGCAACACAAAATATGATGCCAGATTCTGGTTGAACAATGCTGGAAACCTTGTCTTAGGCTCCCATCACAATTAGATGACCATCCAGAGGCAGCTTAGCTGTTCAATACTAAACATAGAATACCACCATATGCAAATATTTTGAGCATCTGAGCTGACCATTATAATGTGCAGCAATATAGGTAAAATATTACTGTGCACTATATAACATAGTGTGCTACTCTTTCAACAGATTGTTGTTGGACATGTTATCTACAGGTCAGCAACAATCCCATCTGATTATTGTTCAGTATACCACCTTATAACATACAACTGTTTCATCACAGAATTATGAACTATGCTATACCATCATGGTATGCTGAAACAATACACTGATTAATATTAAGCACATATAGTATGATGTACAAAAGTTTAAGTGATGTTTGCTACACTATACTTTGTTATGTACTACCATAGCTATCTCATATAATGCAACATTCAACTGCTTTCTTTATAAAACTTCCTTTTGTTTATGGTACATGGTATAAAATATCTTCAAGTTTTTAAATAACAGCATTGTTCTTGTATAATACAATTTATTACACTGATACATGTTACTACTCAGTACTCACTGCACAGTAAAATATCAAGCAGGCCCATAAATTTATATATATTTATTCCAAATATTATCCACTTAAATTCCACTGGTTTCATTCTTACTGCATACCTTCACACACACACACAAACTAAGATGTTTAAAGGCCACTCCAAAACAGGAATATAAAAGTCAAACATCAATAATTTTTCAAATAAAACGTGTTTCATTTAAAAACAACTTATCACATAAACTACTACCAATGTGGAATAAAAAAATATACAGAAGACTTTTGCACCTCTGATTGGCTCAGAGAAAATTAGTAACGTCTACACACACGCGTATCATATTTCGAGTGTAAATTTTACAACTCCAAAATGCATAAGAGCCCCACGTTGATAAGCTGGTTCATTTGTAAAGTCCAAATTTTTGTATATGATTACTATATGCAACAAGAATTTCAGTTATTATAAAACTAAATAATTGTCCCAGGTTGCATGGTGTTTAATATTTTCATCGTGTCATACGCAACCATGTTTGTTTGTTTTTCTTTTACATTTGGTATTTGTAAGCCTTGGATGTGTGATTATACACCACTAGTTTTTAACCAAACAAAACGTTCTTCTGTTACAATTAGTGCTATATAGTGTTTAAACGTAAAAGCAACGCTGAAGATATGTGTTGCACAATTGCAACATGTCAAAATCTATGGCTCACTTAATTAAACACAGCGCACACTTTACGAACTTTGATATCTATTGCCTTAGGTTATGTAACGTCAGTCTGTAAGTGTAATGCTTTTGTTTTATCTATATTTTACATTGTTAGAATACAAAGTTCTTACCACTTTATAAAGTTTCGGCACCTCAATATTTTATTATATTTAAATATTAAAACTTTAAAATACAGTTTCTGTTATGTTCATATAAGTTTTGTAAGACCCCATATTTCCTAATTTAAATATTAATTAATTAAAAAATATACTTCTACAATTACGCTTGAATCGTTTCCATAAACAGAGAATTTATCTATTTGTAAACATTCCCAGAAATTAGAATAATTATCTGTAGCCAAACAATGAATTGTCATTTCAAAATATATTTTTTACACAAAATAAAAACTGTACCTACCACATACAGTCTAGTACGCCCAGATTGTTTTATTAATTTTCAAGAGACTTGATTAGAGTTTCCAACCGCCTGCGACCAATATTGTACTCGAACTTGTCACCAGAGTTTAATCAACTCTACGTGGCCTTCCGTCGTACCTTCAACGACACGGGTCAATTAACCTGACAGGTGAGCTTACGATGGTCCTGAAGTAGCTTTTATTTGCTAATTATCAACAAAATGATTTTAGAACTTGACATGTATACCATATCGTTTTTCTCATAATTTCTTTCTCAGTCTTAAAGGATCTACCTAACAAACATCGTAAAATGTCGAAATTTATCAGACTCGCACATATCACGTAAATTTCTACACAAACCACTGCCACCTAATCAGCCGTTCTCAACTACATTTTAACCACTAGAGGGAAGCACTCAATCTGGTGGTTCGTAATATACAAATTGACTTCGTTACGACGTAAAGTTCAATACATGAGGAATAATACCCTTAAATCATAAAACAAGATGTGGTGGTACACTTTATAAGAAAATTACAGACCACGAAAACCACTTTCTTTACCAAACAAGAAGTACAAGCAGGAAAACATTATTAAAATGCATTGTTAATAATTCCATCTGAACCATTTGAAAGGGTTTCGTTGTTCTTTTGTTCGATACACAATGGTGCTTTTGCTAATACAATAATTAAACTAAGCCTAACTTTAATGTGTCTTGAATGTTGTTTTTAAGTGTCATGCTTTTAAGTTTTAAAATACAGTGATAAGCCAATGAAGAGATTCAATTCCTTCGTGTTATCGTGGTAGTTTTGTGACTAAGTAAGAATAGGTGATTTAATTACGTTTTTGTAACCAACACACTTTAGCAGTGAGACTAATAGTAATAACTAAAAATGGACCTAAATAAAAACGTCTATATATATTGTTACGACAGCGGAAGTCACGTGACACTGGTAACACGTGATGAGTATCTAGAAGGTTCCTGAAGAGGCTAGTGCGTCCTAGACGCCCTCTATTCTTGTATATAAGCGCGGCAAATAAAGCGAGACAATTAATTGAAATTGGAATAGCAGATAGAGAGATTGAAGATATAGAAACAGTTAATCGAGTCAAGTGAGCGGTAGTGAACGTAAGTAAAGTTCGTGAATCGTTGTGAATTATAGCGTGTGTTTAAGTTAATATGACTGTGGAAATTAAGTGTATTGCAAATTTGAATTGAGAAAGAATAAACTAGTTCTATTTAAGAAAGGACTTGTATCGGCTGAAGTTTCTCGGAAAGAATTTCTACAGAAAATTAACAAACGATAACAGAGACGTAACAATATATATTACTTGTAACTCCAGTAAAAAGTAACATTTGAGCTGTTGTTCTCTTGAAACAATAGATCTTTTTAATGACTCTACATTAACTTAGGGATTCTTACTTTTCCAATAACTAAGTTTGTGATATTTCTCGTGCAAAAGGATTTTCCCACAGAACAGTCAGTTGGGTCTGCTATTTACACTTACATACAAAACTGATGTCTTGCATGACTGTTGAGCCAAGTGGTTTGATGTTTCAGTCTCCACACTACAAGAAAATGTCGGTCACCTTCCAAAAAGGTTTAAAAATCAGAGGCCTCTACTGGAAATAAGCCCTTTTACACTACATTCTATTTGGTTTTTCGTTTTACTCTCATAATTGTTAGAGCCTTGTGACACACACCTGAAATATTTTCATATGGTATATATATATATTGTTACGCCTCCGTTTGTTAGTTAATCTTCCGTAAAAATTCTTTCCGTAGAAACTTTACCAATACAAGTCCTTTCTTAAATAAAACTGGTTTATTCTTTCTGAATACAACTTTGCGATACACTTAATTTCAACAGTCACGCTATAAAAACTGTTGTAATTCACAACGAACTTTTCACGTGCTCAACATTATTCTGCCCGCATACATTCAATTACTCATTACCTTACGTTGCTTCT